CCTGCTGACATCACCCCTTCCTAAAGGCACCATAGAAAGTGTCTCTATAGACCCTTTCTTTACTTATATCATCACCTGCTGATATGACCCTTTCCCATAGGCCTAATAGAAAGTGTCTCTATTGACCCTTTCTTTACTTATAACATCACCTGCTGATATGACCCCTTCCTATAGGCATCATAGAAAGTGTCTCCGTTGACCATTTCTTTACTTAAAACATCACCTGCTGATATGACCCCTTCCTATAGGCAATAAAGAAGTTGTCTCTTTTGACCCTTTCTTTACTTAAAACATCACCTGCTGATACGACCCCTTCCTATAGACACAATAGAAAGTGTCTCTATTGACCCTTACTTACTAATAACATTACCTGCCGATATGACCCCTTCCTATAGGCATCATAGAAAGTTTCTCTATTGACCCTTTCTTTACTTAAAACATCACCTGCTGATATGATCCCTTGTTATAGGCACATGGAAAGTGTCTCTATAGACCCTTTCTTTACTTATAACATCACCTGCTGATGTGACCCCTCCTTATAGGCACAATAGAAAGTGTCTCTATTGACCCTTTCTTTACTTAAACATCACCTGCTGATATGACCTCTTCCTAAAGGCACCATAGAAAGTGTCTCAATAGACCCTTTCTTTACTTATAACATCACCTGCTGATATGACCCCTATCTATAGGCACAATAGAAAGTGTCTCTATTGATCCTTTCTTTACTTATAACATCACCTGCTGATATGACCCCTTTCTATAGGCACAATAGATAGTGTCTCTAATGATCCTTTCTTTACTTATAACATCACCTGCTGATGTGACCCCTTCCTATAGGCATCATAGAAAGTGTCTCTATTGACCATTTCTTTACTTAATCATCACCTTGCTGATATGACCCTTCTTAAAGGCACCATAGAAAGTAAAATTGAAAATGGAAATGGGGAATGTGTCAAAGAGACAACAATCCGACCATAGAACAGACAACAGCAGAAGGTCACCAACAGGTCTTCAATGCAGCGAGAAATTGTCTCTATTGCCCCTGTGTTTACTTATCACATCACCTGCTGATATGACCCTTTCCTATAGGCCTAATAGAAAGTGTCTCTATTGACCATTTCTTTACTTATAACATCACCTGCTGATATGACCCCTTCCTATATGCACCATAGAAAGTGTCTCTTTAGACCATTTCTTTACTTTTAACATCACCTGCTGATATGACCCCTTCCTATAGGCACCATAGAAATTGTCTCTATTGATCCTTTCTTTACTTATAAAATCATCTGCTGATATGACCCCTTCCTATAGGCATCATAGAAAGTGTCTCTATTGATCATTTCTTTACTTAAAACATCACCTGCTGATATGACCCCTTCCTATAGACACAATAGAAAGTGTCTCTATTGACCATTTCTTTACTTAAAACATCACCTGCTGACATGACCCCTTCCTAAAGGCACCATAGAAAGTGTCTCTATAGACCATTTCTTTACTTATAACATCACCTGCTGATATGACCCTTTCCTATAGGCCTAACAGAAAGTGTCTCTATTGACCCTTTCTTTACTTATAACATCACCTGCTGATATGACCCCTTCATATAGGCATCATAGAAATTGTCTCTTTTGACCCTTTCTTTACCTAAAACATCACCTGCTGATACGACCCCTTCCTATAGACACAATAGAAAGTGTATCTATTGACCCTTACTTACTAATAACATTACCTGCCGATATGACCCCTTCCTATAGGCATCATAGAAAGTTTCTCTATTGACCCTTTCTTTACTTAAAACATCACCTGCTGATATGATCCCTTGTTATAGGCACCATGGAAAGTGTCTCTATAGACCCTTTCTTTACTTATAACATCACCTGCTGATATGACCCCTCCTTATAGGCACAATAGAAAGTGTCTCTATTGACCCTTTCTTTACTTAAACATCACCTGCTGATATGACCTTTTCCTAAAGGCACCATAGAAAGTGTCTCTATAGACCCTTTCGTTACTTATAACATCACCTGTTGATATGACCCCTATCTATAGGCACAATAGAAAGTGTCTCTATTGATCCTTTCTTTACTTATAACATCACCTGCTGATATGACCCCTTTCTATAGGCACAATAGAAAGTGTCTCTATTGACCATTTCTTTACTTAAAACATCACCTGCTGATATGACCCTTGTTAAAGGCACCATAGAAAGTGTCTCTATAGACCCTTTCGTTACTTATAACATCACCTGCTGATATGACCCCTTTCTGTAGGTACCATAGAAAGTGTCTCTATTGACCCTTTCTTTACTTAAAACATCACCTGCTGATATGACCCCTTGTTAAAGGCACCATAGAAAATGTCTCTATAGACCCTTTCGTTACTTATAACATCACCTGCTGATATGACCCCTTTCTGTAGGTACCATAGAAAGTGTCTCTATTAACCCTTTCTTTACTTATAACATCACCTGCTGATATGACCCCTTCCGATAGGTACCATAGAAAGTGTCTCTATTGATCCTTTCTTTACTTATGACATCACCTGCTGATATGACCCCTTGTTATAGGCAACATGGAAAGTGTCTCTATAGTACCTTTCTTTACTTATAACATCACCTTCTGATATGACCCCTTCTTATAGACACTATAGAAAGTGTCTCTACTGACCCTTTCATTACTTATAACATCACCTGCCGATATGACCCCTTCCTAAAGGCACCATAGAAAGTGTCTCTATATACCAATTCTTTACTTATAACATCACCTGCTGATATGACCCCTTCTTATTGGGACAGTAGAAAGTGTCTCTATTGACCATTTCTTTACTTAACACATCACCTGCTGAAATGACTCCTTCTTATAGGCACAATAGAAAGTGTCTCTATTGACCCTTTCTTTACTTATAACATCACCTGCTGATATGACCCCTTCCTATAGGCACAATAGAAAGTGTCTCTATAGACCTTTTCTTTACTGATAACATCACCTGCTGATATGACCCCTTCCTATAGGCATCATAGAAAGTGTCTCTATTGATCATTTCTTTACTTAAAACATCACCTGCTGATACGACCCCTTCCTATAGACACAATAAAAAGTGTCTCTATTGACCCTTTCATTACTTATAACATCACCTGCCGATATGACCCCTTCCTAAAGGCACCATAGAATCGTGCAATCTGTGGCCACCACCTGTAAAAACGGCTGGTTTGGTTCCAACATAATGCACTTATTGTGAATGACTTTATCCTCCCATTCCTTGTCCAACAGAGTACGGGGTATACGGGTAACTGCATGTGTATCTGTCCGTGCGTCCGTCCGTAACAACATTTTTCTCAGCAACTATTCATCACAGCAAAATACTACACAGTTTCGTACTTCCTGTTTCCCCAACTCTTTTTATTTTCGTACATATGGAAGTTTTGATGGCATTTTCTCAGAAACTATTTCCGGCAGAAATCTAATATTAAGAAGCAAGCTTCATGAATGTTTACCTGTCAGTTCCCTTCCTACTTCTTATCTTCCAACTGAAAAAGTAAAATAACAAAAATTCCGAACTCAATGGGAAATTCAGAACGGAAATTCCTTTATAAAATGGTAAAATTAAATGCTCAAACACATCTAACGAATGGAAAACAACTGATGCCACTTTGTTATGTATGGGTTGTACTTATTGTTGAAGGCCGTACGGTGACATATAGTTAATAATTTCTGTGTCATTTGGTCTCTTCTGGAGAGTTGTCTCATTGGCAATCATACCACATCTCCTTAATTTTATATCTACTTTCCTCAATACAAATACTAAAATATGGAACAAATCTCCGTGATTTTAAAAGCTCTCACGGCGAACAAAAAACGCACATAACAATTTTAGTCTTCATTCGACTCGTATATGTCGAAGTTAAACAAATAACTGACCAAAAAACCACAACAAAACTACAAATTTTAATACGGTTGTGATTGTTTTGAAACGCTATATATGAGGAGCTTCCGGGTGACTTCGTCCCCGGCACCCTACCAGGACTTTCAACGGCCCTGGACCAACTGGGGGCCTTATATCCCTCGCTCTTCAGTTTGTGATTCCACTTCATTAACAAGGTAGCTACGCCCCCGATTAAATTGTTTTTAATATTATAAGTAATACCCAATGAAAACTAAAGCAACATTATAAATAATAATGGCATAATCGCTTTATAATAGTGCAATATTATCATCTTATTAAGCATTAATTCTCATAAAATAACACAAGTTTACAATTATAATAATATCAACAGTTTAATTAAATTTGTTTAATATTATAAAGTAACACCAAAAGAAAACTAAAGCAACACTATAATTAATAACGGCATATTTGTTATATAATATTCCTATATTTTCATCTTTTAAGGCATTATTTATCGTAAAATAACACAAATTTACATCGAAATAACTAATAACGCTTGACCGATATACGCTATAAGGTATCTCTATCAAAATATATGTGATTAAAATAAGTAATAAAATTGTATGTATTTATACAAATTATAAAATACATTTACACCATGATTACATTGATAGTATAAGGATACCCTACATTTTATCATAATAATTATGATCATCATAAACGTAGTCAAATTTCAGAATGACTACCTCCCCCTTTTTACCCCTGGTAAATTACTGAAATATATTATATTATATTTAAATTATAATTTCCTGCGATTTTACATAATTATTTTCTAGCTGTTATTTATCTTAACTTAATTAATAAAGTAACATGACATTAATTTTCAATTTAAAATCGGTTAATGTACAAAGGGAAACAACTTTAGTTGTTCTACATAGGGGCAAAATTGGCTGGTTAATGGTGCAAAATCAGCAGGTGCCGTATCAGCAGGTGAGTGATTTAGACCCGTCTCGAAATATTGTATAGCTAACAACAAATAGTATTTGATAATACTTAAATGAAACATTGATAAAAAGAAGTGCATTTGGTACTAAGTTCTCTGCTTTGTTAATTTTCAGAATGCCTTGTGACAAATTGTGTGCTGGATGTTTGCGCGATAACGAAGAAAATATAGCAGAAACATGGTGCAGTAATTGTTCAGAATTAGTGTGTAAGTTTTGTGCTAAAGTTCACCGGCGATTTGACCCTCCGCATAAAATAGTACAACTCAATGATGTAAGTGAGAACAGTATTTCTCTTATCGAATCTTCAAAGTATTGTGGAACTCATAGTGATCAAAAATCGCTTCTGTTTTGTTCTCAGCATGATCAATCTATATGCGATCTGTGTCTTTCCGGCGATCATGCTAACTGTAAATCAATTATTTCGATTGAACGAGCAGCTAAAGGGGCGAAAGAAGGCACGGCGGCAGATGATTTAGAAAAACGTTTAAAAGATGTCAAAACAGTGGCAAGGACATCGCTGAAAGAAGTCAAGACAAATGTTGATTCTCTTATTATGCAAAAGAGCGATATTCTACAAATGGTATCGACTTTTAGAAAAGAAATCGAAAAACGTCTTGACGAGCTGGAACAAGATATAACGAAGGTAATAGAGAAACAGTACACTATCTGCCAACAGCGGGTCATGGAACAGAAAACAGTAATGGAGAAACAAGAGAAGGAACTTATGGACCGAAACGCCGATATAAACTCGTTAAAACTGTGTACAAATGACATTCAGTTTTTTCAAACTATTAAGACACTAGACGTCAGTACGCATCAATACGAAACAGAGATGACCACTAAGATAACAAGAATCAGCTTGGAATATGAACCGAATGAAGAGATACCGAAACTAGTTGCTGCCCTGAAAACGTTTGGAAATGTTCGTATATCTGAAACCGATGTGGAATTGCATCATATTCCAGATAAAATGCAGCAAAGTCAAGTTGAAGTAAAAAACACAAAGGATACAGTACGTACGCATAACTTTGATATTTTAAATATAAAAATACGATGTGGTATGATTGTCAATGAGACAACCCTCCTCCAGAGACCAAATGAAATAATTGTTATTAAATTTGCCGATTGCTTCTGACATGAATATATATAGATAATGATCGGGTCCATTTCAGTTTCCTGCAAACAAATTTGCATTTCCATGTTTTAAGATTATTCATATATGTTAATGTTAGTGTTTCATTTACACACTTTCAAGCTAGAATTTTTTATACTTTCTCTTTTGATGGTACATGAACAGAGCTATAACCCATCTATATCAATACAACAGCAATACATTTTTTATGTTTTTACACCCCCCCCCCCCCCCCCCCCAAAACAAATTTATTCAACGCTTATTTATACATCAATGTCAGAGGCATGTTTCTTTCTTTTCCCGGTCAAATTCTACAAATTTGAACTTGCTTATATGAATATAACTATTTTGTTTAGGACCTTTTTGATCATGTAACTCCGAACGTTGTCGTGTATTTACGCATGCGTGGCTTTCAAATTAATTAGGTTTGAGTGTTCATGATAACTAGAGGCTCTCAAGAGCCTGTGTCGCTCACCTGCATCTACTGTGTTTTTGCAAATCATGTAAAATCAGGTTAAAATCATGATTACTAGTATTAGATACACTAATAATGATTGAGGCCAAGTTTGGTTTAATTTGGCCCAGTAGTTTTATTAAAAGCAGGTCATCCCATTGTAGTCTTACAATAGTTACTGAAGACCCATTATCATTATTTAAATTAGTTTTCAAGTTGTGACCATTTGAAATTGGTTTTTTTCAATTTTTCCTTAGACTTCTAAAGTAAACCCTATGTTCTATTTTTAGTCATGGCGGCATGTTGGTAGGATAAAAGGGTCATCGGATACATTTTTCAATTAAGATACCCTATTGAAAATTATGGCTAAGATTAATCATATTTGGCCCAGTAGAATAAGTGGAGAAGATTTTTGTAAAAGATTACAAAAAATTACGAAAAATTTAGAATAGAGAAATATAAAGGCCAATAACTCCTTAATGGGGCAATTGAACATTTTGGTCATACTTACTTATTTGTAGATTTTACTTTGCTGAACATTATTGCTGTTTACAGTTTATGTCTTTCTATAATAATATTCAAGAAAATAACCAAAAACTGTAAAATTTCCTTAAAATTTCCAATTCAGGGGCAGCAACCCGACAACGGGTTGTCTGATTCGTTTGAAAATTTCAGGGCAGACAGATCTCAACCTAATAAACATTTGTATTTAATTTGATTTGCTGTAAATGCTTTAGTTTCAGAGATATAAGCCAACACTGCATTTTACCCCAATGTTCTATTAGAGCCATGTCGGCGATGTTGAAATTATTTATCTATTTTATATATATATATATGTATGTGTTCTCTTTTTGCTTGTTCCGATTTTTTTTATGTAAAAACTGACACATTTTATAAACTGCAATCATAATATTGTAAGTGCTGCATTTTATAAATAAATGTTTCATGACTGGTCATTCATGTGATCTTGACCTACTAGCCTATTATTTCGACTAAATCTGTTTAAGGGTGATTGACTACAATTCAGTTATTTTTTAGAATTCAAACACTCTACTCTTCGATGAAGGAACATACTTCAAACAGAATTGTCATTGTCATTTATTTCTTCGTCCTGAACATGTATAAAATGCTTGCCACTGGACGTTAAGTGAACAACAATCAAACATAAGTTTTTCCTCTTTTCCATATTTCATTCAATTTTGATAACTGTTATAAATATCAGGATATTTCAGATTTAGCACCGTGAAATGACCCTTTTTGTCTCGTTTACTGATTGTAGGAATAAAAGTAGGTATCCTCACACACAAACATTGTGTATTTCAATACATTATGTTCGATTTATTTTCTTCAAAACAGAAAAGTAATGGACGAACTGGACATTGGTCGGGATTCTACAACCAACATAGCAGACAACATCAATTTGAGCTAGATATTGCATTCTTGGAAGAAAAAGTTACCGGTGAAGGAATCGATAAGATTGGAAAATTTACTATTACTGGTACATGTGACGTTTCTAGCAGAAGAATCCAGTTTAGAAAGCAGTACAAAGGTGCACATAGTGTTGATTACAGTGGGCAGCTATCACAGGATGGTTGTAAGATGGAAGGACATTACAATGTTGGTGGTTCTACAGACAAATTCACAATGACATTTGTTCCAGTATGTATTTGAAAATTGTATGGTAAGATGCTAAAGATCTTTTGTCGAGCCTGCGAAATTTAATTCGCGAAAGCCAGACATAGCGATCCTAAATTTTGTCGGCAGCGGTTATTTCAAAAAACACATTACGATAAAACTATAATCTGATGATTAAGGAGTAAGGTGAGGTGTAAAAAAACTTGAAAGGACGACGGCATCAATATTGATCATGCTGATTTATCCGTATTAATATAAAAATAAGGAGATGTGGTATGATAACCAATGAGACAACTATCCACTAAAGTTCAAATGAAGTGTATTTAAGCAATTATAGGCAACCGTACGGCCTTCAACAATGAGAAAACCCATCCCTTATGGTCGGCTATAAAAGGCCCCGAAATGACAAATATAAAACAATTCATTTGAGAAAACTAACGGCCTAATTTATAACAAAACAATTTACGAAAAACAAATATGACAAATATAAGGCCGATTTTTATCATATTCTTGAATAACTGATAAAGAAAATTATGTATTTTAGTCTTTTCTCATATACACGTATCGTGTGTAAATATTAATGAAACACCAAGCTCAAAATCTCAAAATAGAAGAAATACATGTCGAATCTAACAACTATATATTATATGTATATTCTGAATGTCATAGAAAGTGAGATTATGTTTTCATTATACAGAGATTAAGAACCCTGATTTTGTTTTTTATTCAATGATTAATTCCTTTCTAGTCATATAATGCAGTCTCTGGACATTGGACCGGCTTCTACAATCAATATGGTGATCGACATGCCTTTGAGCTAGACATTGCGTTTGAAGGGGATAAAGTCAGCGGAAATGGAGATGACGGAATAGGCAAATTTAGCATTAATGGTGATTGGATCTCTTCTTCTGGTAAAATACAATTCTTTAAGCAGTACCACGGTGCACATAGTGTAGACTACAGTGGTCAACTATCATGCGATGGTCGCAGCATGAAAGGAAAGTATAATGTCAATGGTTTTTCAGACAATTTTACTATGACCGTCGTATCACTTTGATATGATATTGTCTGACTCTTATAATTGGAATATCTTAATAAAGTTTCTGTTACCACACAATATGTATCTTACATTGAGTTTGTGAATATTTCTGTTAAATGGGTCCGATGATTCACCAAACATTTCGAATGTTTACATGAGACATATGTGTAAGACTGCTAAAATACTTGTGTCACTTTCATATACAAAACTATATAAATAATCTCGACATGTAATTGTATAAAGGTCGATGGTTCTCTCCGGGCACTTCGGCTTCATCAACTAATACACACTGACCGCCACGAAATAGCACGATAGGGCTAAAAAATGAGTTAAACACCAATCAATCAATCAATCAATCAATATGCATTTTTAACAGTGTTAAAACACTTAAGTCACTTTCAAAAACGTTCCCATTCTGATCGAGAGAAATCAAAGGAATGTCTGTTGAATAAAATTAACTTTATATAGTCTTCTACCGTCCCAAAGTAAACCCAAATTAAAACACGAAACCTGAAGATCCCAAAGGGTCTTTAAAACAGAAAGTATAACGGATTGCTTCTTATTCTTGTGGGCAAAGCATAGACACGGTTAATGCAGTGATTGCACGGTCCAAAACAATTAACAAGCTGTTTTGTTTGATCTTATATTACAATCGTCATTCTGTGATACGATAAATGTTTTACTACGATGTCATTATTCCCGTAGTTGATGAGCGTCTTTAGACTTTCCCCCCAAGGGTGACTGGGGAATAGAAATATGTTCACCATTGGTCTTCCTCCGACCGGCGGTAAAACCCTCGCTAAAGTGGGGCGTCCGTTTGGCTGTGCGGGATGTACAAGTTCGCAGTCACGTCCGGTCAGAATGGGGACGTTAAATCCGATGCCTCGTGTAAAGAGAGTACCACGTTCTTTGCACGTTAAGAACCCTTGCAACAACTCTTTGAGGGGTCCGTAGGTGACCTGTTGCAAGGCTAAATTTATGTCCCTATCTAATATACCCTCAATTCCTGTGGCAGTATAAATTTCTACGACCTTAATCCCAGACGCCTCTGTTACAGAGTCTACCTTTTGTATTTATTGTTAATTTGTTCTCGTCCTGAATATGCATGAAATATTTGCCACTGGACGTTAAGCAACAAACAATCAATCAATCAATCTTTAGACTTGCGTTAAATCCAGTAATCATCATTTAACAAATTTTAATCTCCATTTTGAAACATTTCAAAGAACGCATTCAATGTTTTACTGGTAAATTATTTAGTCAGGGATTACGTTACCTTTTCTAAATTCTTCCATAGATACACAGATTTGGTTTAGAAGTTTGGTTGTACCTGTAGAAAACTATTTCATAAGGGATAGCACATCCTATTTTTTACGGAGTAGTTGTACCGAGCCCGGAAATTAAATACGATCAGGGTAAACTTATCGATCCTTTAAATAAACTTCTAATTCTAAAAGGTTACCAATCCAACATTGTAATAAGATCTTAGAACATTGTTTTTATTGTTATTAGTAAATTAAAATCAAACTAAATATTTTATTTTTTACATACATATGCACATCCATGGCTCTACATCTATCGATACATGTATCTTGGCATTGCACTAGGTCTTGTTTTTTCTGTGACTGTTAATGACGATTTTACACTAAATCCATTGAATGTTGGATGTGTACTGATTGATATTTTAGTCTTTAAGTTAGATGCATGATTTTTTTGTATTAGTTGTTATTGGCTTTGAACTAGCTGTCAATGAATGCGAGTACTCTCAGATCTGTTATTAGTGTCTTTTGTTGTGGGGATGTATTTATAAGTACCCTGCTACGTCCACTCTGTGTTTTTGTTAGATGTATTCCTGCTTTGTATCCATCTGAAGAGTTAAGCCCTTTTGAACTGATTTATATAGATTAATCTTATGTTGTAATGTTACAACACTGTTCCAGGTAAGGGGAGGGTTGGCGCCTTCAAACTAGTTTGTACATAAATTATGCCGTTAGTTTTATCGTTTGAATTGTTTTACATTTGTCATTTCGGGACCTTTTATAGCTGATTATGCGGTATGGATTTTACTCATTGTTGAAGGCCGTACGGTGACCTACAGTTGTAAATATCTGTGCCTTTTGGTCTCTTGTGGAGAGTTGTCTCATTGGCAATCATATCATATCTTCTTATTTTGATATCTATAAGTCTGTGCTTAATATAGATATATCGTGGATTTTAGTACTCTGTTGTTTGTAAAGCGAACAAAGTACGTCATATTTAGATATACAATGATAAAAGATTTCTTAAATTTTGTTGTTTAAATTCAAGTCAAGCTGAAATTCATTTTCTGATAGAATGTCCAGCATTAGAACAACAATAATGTTAGATTCTGCTTTGAAAATATGTAATAATTTAAAAAATCTAAATACAAAAACAACAAAAAATTAGTTTGTTTCTTGTGAACATGAAGAAATATGAAAACTAAGATTGTGGCTTTAATTTTGTATAAAATAAAATTAAGAATGGAAACGGGGAATGTGTCAAAGAGACAACAACCTGACTAAAGAATGGTATACAGCAACAAACGACAACCACTGAAATAACTAAACAACTGCTATATATATAGTTAAATCCATATTATCGTAAACATTATCATTATTGTTTTCTTTTTCTTATATCTATTGGTAATCATTATATGTAACATGTCCTTTATGGGCCGACAATTGGTTTGATAAATTATTCATATACGTATTCGTATTATAAATTACCAACAGCTTTTCCGTTTGCTGCGACATCGGCAATCGGATAACGCAACGGCAATAGGAAACCAAAGTTGAAAACATGGGTAAACAAACGTGGAAGGAAGATAATATCAACCGATTTTGATATAACCAAAAATAATACACCCAATCATTTAATACATTTTGTAACAAAGTTTGATTTACATATGTAAACGGATGAAACACATAAAAAGAATGAACATCACTCTAATATCGCACTTGTTATACGTGTGCTCCTTTTTAAGTTGATTGTTTATAACGTGTATGATCTGTAATTGTCGGCACCAAAATCCGGAGATTAGTCTACAACAACATTTATCAATCAACATCACCAAAATGAATTATTTTTCAAGATTATACCTTATGGATTCGTAATAAATGTCTTTTTTAACGTGTACAGATGACTTAGTTTATATTTTAATTCGCGTAGCTCAAACCAATATAAATCATTTAATAAAAAAAAATATACATAAATAGTATAAGCATGATAAGTATGTATTCTTCAAACTAATGTCAAATCACCATTGGCTATCATCAGACATGCATTACCAATTCAAACATATACAGTATATACACAATCAAAACCATTTCCAAAAGGGGAAAAAGACACATTACTTTAAGTTAATATAATTTATATAATATACTCAAATAAACAATAATCAACTTAAAAACGTTTGAGTGGGCGGATAAACATTAGTACAGATTTACGGAAAGTATCGGTACCGACTGTTTATACCAACTTTGATATATTAAATTGAGGGTGTCGTCTCAAAATTATATAAAAAGGACTAAACAGGTAGCATGTCAAGGTAAAAGTTACAAAGAATAGTTTTACAAGATTTTACAAACGATTTATGTAATTTAGAAAATAAAAATTGTCTTCGGTTCACAAGTCCTGTACATATCTCAATAATTTGTCTGATGTCTCCATATAGGTTTTTTATTGACGCGTAAATGGACATAGTTAATGTCAAAACCATAAAATTAAACAAGACGTGTTATTTATAGTCTAAGAAAAACGGAAGATAGCCAATATACATAGCAACAATATATTACTTCGCCAATTACAATACAACGATTAATAAATATATAGAGGAAATAAAAAATTAAAAAAATAGTTAAATACTTTGAATCACTTCACTTAGGATTTTCTTTTTCGCATTAAAAGGGCATCTGATTTTTATCAGCATGTCCCCTTTTGCCATCGTGGAAATCGTTGTTTTCTGTAAAAAAAAATGTCTTTGTCTTTTAAGGCCAACTATACGGTATGGGTTTTTTCTTATTGTTGAAGGCGGCCGTGCGTTGGTCTATAATTGCTTACTACCACTAACTTTTTACTGTTAGGAGATTATAGTTGTCTCGTTGGTAATCATACCCCTTCCCTATTTGTATGTGAAGCTACTATTACCATAACATATAATATATCAATCACGAGTAACACATACACTGTTCAATCAAAAATAGTAATAAAGCATTTTAATTATAACATTACATGCTGCTGAAGTATCTAAATATTAAAACGTTTCAGATAGTTTTTAACAATTGCTTCTTGTATCACCAGCATCAACCAATCGTTCTCAACACAAACAAAAACAAGTTTAATTTGATCGACCAATAAAAAAGATAGAACAGAATTAACAGTATTACAATGAGTATGATCAGTGTAACTAGAAAATTAACGCATTTTGCACTACGATTGCTGCACAGTTGTGTACTTGAAATAAGAGGAAGAGGCGTTGATTCTTGTATTTGTTGGGGTAGAGGTTGTGTTGTTACAACAGCTACAAGTGTTGGAAGTTTTGGTGTCTGCAGTGATTGAGCCGATGGTCTTAGGGATGGAGTAAGTAGGCAGAATGGTGGTGGGGTTTTACAACATGTGCATTCGAACCAATCAACATCTTGATTAGGAAGATCATCAGGAAAACAGCGTAGTATACAACAGCAACAATTAGTTTTGCATGAAAGGCACTTGCGGCATGTGTACTCAAATATATCCATATTTGGATGATCCAGTTGAGAGGGAAAACATCTGCACAAACAGCATGCAAATGATCTTTGACATGCTAGGCATTTCCTCAAGAAATATGTACAGAAGTCATTTTCCTTAGAATTAGAAGGACAACACCGTAAAATACAACAACAGCAATTTCGATCACAACTCATGCAATCCCTACATTTGTACATGTACATTCAAACCAGTCTGATTCTTGGGGTGTTTGATATTCAATAAAGCAACGAAAAATACACCTTTTTGGTTTATTGCTCTTCATGTTTTTAATAAGCTTTAGATTTTCAAATATTTTGGCCTCGAGCATCACTGAAGAGACATTGATTGTCGAAATGCGCATCTGGTGCAGAAAAATTGGTACCGTTTATGTTATAACTACCACTGGGTCGATGCCTCTGCTGGTGGACTGATAGTTCCCGAGGGTATCACCAGCCCAGTAGCCAGTACTTCGGTACTGGCATGAAAATACGGATTTTGTTTTATTAAAATTTGCTGTTACAAAATTTTGGAAATTATTTAAAACTAAGGAATGTATCTCCCTCATGCAGAGCTCTGATTCCTTGCCCAGCTTTGGCTATACTTTTTGTCCTTTTTGGTTTATTACTCTTCATGTTTTTAATAAGCTTTAGATTTTCAAATATTTTGGCCTCGAGCATCACTGAAAAGACATTGATTGTCGAAATGCGCATCTATGCAGAAAAATTTGTACCGTTTATGTTATTGCACGGTAGACTACACGACAAGCATTCACAACATCCACATGTGCATAAATAAAATTGAGATGGATCAAGATATGTCGGACAACAACGAAGTATACAACAACAACAACATTTGTTTTCACAGCTCATGCATTTACCAGCATGGTAAATACAGATACAGTTAAGTCTGCCTCATATCGTGACTTACATCTAGAAATTGACAATGAGGGTCGGTTGAAAACAAACCTTTACGACAAAAGAGATGATTTCAGCTTCCCAATTGTGAACTTTCAATTTCTATGTAGCAACATTCCAGCAGCGCCTACATACGGAGTATACTGTACGCCAACTAATTTTTGCGAGCGATATATTTTCGCGACTTTCGCGAATATGTAAAACTTGGATTTTCCATATTTAACTACATCAAGTAAATTTTAGAATCGCGAAATTAAATCGTCGCGAAATGGACTGGAAAGTGCTAATCGCGAAATAAACTATCCGCGAAGATAAGTTGGTTTACAGTATATCTCCCAATTGATACGATATTCCCGGGCTTGTATTTCCTATCATGATTTCCTTGATAGAGGATTGCTGCTCGCAAGGAAGCTATTAAACCAAGAGTTTCAAATGGTGAAGTTGAAATCATCCCTTCGTAAATTTTACGGACGTCATCACGAGTTGGTTGACCGTTATGATTTGTGTACTAATCGTAGGTCCAGAGTTTTTATTATGTATTGCTCCTCTATGTTTTATACCACTTGGGGTTCTTGCCGTTTCTGGTGATATTATTCCCGAAGACGAACATGGTTGGTTTGCGTCTTTAAAATCAGTCGTTTCCGGAGAATATTTTTGTTCAATGTCTACTGCAACAATTGATCCAGATTTAGGTACAACTAATTTTAGTGTGGAATTTTTATTGTCGGAAATTTCAAATATTCCATCTGTTTTTTTTTCTCCTATTTTTATTTGCTGCCTTTGGTGCAAGAATTGTTTCTAGATCCATTACATCCGATGTTCTCTTTGTCTCCTGATCCTCTGCTTGTGCTGTTTGCACTATATCTGTTGTCTCGAATTATCCTTGTCTCTAAATTTGTAGGCTCTGACGTTACAGTTGTCTGTAGATCCGCGATGTCTGGTATTAACCTCATATCTATTTCTATTCCCCGTTGTTTCTGGTTTTGTTGTTTCTGGTTTTGTTGTTTCTGATGCATTGATCATCTCTGAATCCGTTGTCTCTGTTGTTTCCATACACCTTATCGCTATTCCCGCTTGACCCGAGAATCTGTCCCACTCGAACTTTTGACGTCACACAACAATCACATTTCCATTGTGGCGTCAGATATTTTCTATTATGACGTCAAAATTTTACGGGAACTTGTGTGATGTCCAGTAATGGCGGACAAATAGCGATAAGGTGTATTGTATCTATATATGTTGCTTCTACTGGTGTCATAGTTTCTCGATCCTGACCAGGATAACTTTCAGTATACAATTCAGTTATTTGCTTCGTTTCAAAAAAAAGATCGCATGAATTAAAATCATAATTGCCAGTCC